AAACCGAGGCTCATTGCCGTGGCCCTAGCATCAGGAGAGAAGACCAGACCGCCTATCACCAGCCCAGAAAAAGATCAGAATTTGAAGTACGTTTTCTACTGAATGCGTACTGCTTTCTCACCGGGTAAAGCGAAAACAATAATAATTGGAACCGTGGTAAATCAGGAACCACAAAACCAGCCGAGTCCAGGATACTCCCACCCAGGATGGGGTGCTAGGGGTATGTATTTATAGACACCAGCCAGGGTGGGGAAGGGATGCTTAGAACCTGATAGGGGCTTGGGATGAACTTGGCAGAGTGGGTCCCACTTTAAGATTCTAGCACCAGTGAGTCCATAAAGAACTTGGTCCCAAGGCTCTGCCCTAACCCCACCCTCACCCCTGAACTTTACCTGCTCCTACCCCACCCCAGGGAGCGAGCAACCAGTTGTAACAGGTGTTCACCGATTTACCACTGAAATCATTGTTGTGGCACGGCCGTCCAACCTCCCGTTGTCCCTTGGGGTCTGGAACAGAGCCAGGTCTGAACCTTTTTGGGTGAATATGGTCAGGGCTGATGTTGCAAATCTCAGGTGACATCACCCTGCTGGTTTTATTCCCCTTAAAGCCACTTCCTCTCTCCTCTGCCATCTTCATGGTCTGTGCCCACAGCTGTCGGTCGGCATCCTCCCCAGGGAGGAAGGTGTCTGAGAATATTACCCACACTGTGGTCATGATGACTTTCTATTTAAAGAAACTCAACTTCAAAGAAACAGAAGAGAGAGAGAAACTCAAAGTTCAATGTTCCCAGAAGACTTAAACTGAAAGACTTGCTATTTTTCTTTCCCCCCAGTGGGCTCTCAGGCAGAATGAGAGGTGGTAAATTGGGAGATATGGGGAACGGAGATTTTGACCTTATTCACAGCAAGAATACACTATGTATCCCATCCACTGCCTACCCCCAATCCCACCCTTTGTAACACACACATATGCTACCTACACATAGCAGGGAACTAAGAGTATTAAAGACTATTAAGTAGAAAATTAGAATCTCAGAGCCCCAGAGTTTTCATCAAAAGTATAGGATTCAAATCGGACGCTGCCATCAGCCCTGTTTCCTGGGTCTTCTTTCTCAGAGCCTCGGTTTCCCCATCTGTAAAATGAGGATGAAATATGGAGGAGAGCAATGACTCTCAACTCTGTTCTGATCATGAGAAAAGGAAAAAGTGATTAAGGATCTATACTGTTTAAATAAATGAAGACTCATGCTCGGGAGGACAACAGTGCCACCTGCTGGATTCACATTGCACTTACAAAATCCAAATTTAATACTGCCAATACAGTTGTGAGAGTTGGACTGTAAAGAAAGCTGAGCACCAAAGAATTGATGCTTTTGAACTGTGGTGTTGGAGAAGACTCTTGAGAGTCCCTTGGACTGCAAGGAGATCCAACCAGTCCATCCTAAAGGAGATCAGTCCTGGGTGTTCCTTGGAAGGACTGATATTGAAGCCGAAACTCCAATACTTTGGCCACCTGATGCGAAGAGCTGACTCATTTGAAAAGACCCCGATGCTGGGAAAGATTGAGGGCAGGAGGAGAAGGGGACGACAGAGAATGAGAGGGGTGGATGGCATCACCGACTCGATGGACATGGGTTTGAGTGGACTCCAGGAGGTGGTGATGGACAGCGAGGCCTGGCGTGCTGCGGTTCATGGGGTCTCAAAGAGTGGGTCACGACTGAGTGACTGAAATGAACTGAATACAATCCCATGCTCTTTGGTATTCATTGAGCACTTATTCAGTGTTCAAGAGTTGCAATGCACCTCCTAGGCCACACCAAGATGAGCTTCCTTCCCACGTGAAGCTCACAGTCTAGAGGGGACAACTGACTCGTACATAAAGCCCTTTGATCTAAGGTGGGCAGTACATGGTTCTAGTGGGACTCTATGGGAAAATGAGATGGAAAGCCTGCGGCCAGAGCCAGCTTCATGGGCTTGTGACCTTGACAGGCACACAAGACCCTGTGCTTGGCAGGGCCCTGCCTTGATTTCAAGTTCTGCTATCGCTGTCTTGAAAGTCTTAATAATTTTTGAACAAAGGGTTCTATATTTTCATTTTGCCCTGGGCCTTCAAATTATGTAGTCTTGCCTTGGGGAAATCTTTTTTTTTTTTACATATAGCATTCTATTAGTTTCTGTGTACAACATAATGATGCGATATTTGAATATAGTGTGAAACAATCACCATATTAAATCTAATTAAGGAATTTTTTTTGGCTGCGCTGGGTCTTCATTGCTGCTGCATGTGGGCTTTCTCTAGTTGCGGTGTGCGGGCTTCTCACTGCGGTGGCTTCTCTCGTTGCAGAGCAACAGCTCTAGAGTTCAGGCTCAGTAGTTGTGGCACACAGGTTTAGTTGCCCTGCGGCATGTGGGATCTTCCTGGACCAGGGATCGAACCCCTGTTCTCTGCATTGGCAGATGGATTCTTACCCACTGGACCACCAGGGAAGTCCTGAATTAGGGAAATCTCGAAGAAGGGACTGTCTGAGTTTGGAGAACCGAGCGGTAGTGGAGCAGAGGAGGAAGCCTCTTCTAGCAAGGGAGATGGAGAGGGAGCAGAGTTTGATGTTAGACAGATCCAGGCTTGGGGGAGAGAAGACCTCCCAGGACAGTTCAGCAGCTGAAACTCACAAGACAGGCCGGGGTTGGGGCTCTGAGGGCACAGACTTTCATAGGTGGGACCAAGGGTCCGCGAGTGCTCTGCTGCTGCTGCTGCTAAGTCACTTCAGTCGTGTCCGACTCTGTGTGACCCCACAGACGGCAGCCCGCCAGGCTTCCCCGTCCCTGGGATTCTCCAGGCAAGAACACTGGAGTGGGTTGCCATTTCCTTCTCCAATGCACGAAACTGAAAAGTGAAAGTGAAGTCGCTCAGTCGTGTCCGACTCGTCACGACCCCATGGATTGCAGCCCGCCAGGCTCCTCCGTCCATGGGATTTTCCAGGCAAGAGGACTGGAGCGGGGTCCCATTGCCTTCTCCGGGCAGTGTCCTGAGGGCAAGGTGAAAAATAGAGCTGCATGGCTGGGCTTTCAGGCCAACCTAGGTCCTTGGCCTCCGGGACTCCTGCCTGGTGGAGTGGTGGAGGAAGTTCTTGAGGGCAGAACTGGAAAGGCCCTTGAGCCCCAACTCCCCATGTGATATGCTTTGAAACCTCTTAGGCTCTTTACAAGTGACTTCCTGCTTCAATCTCACAGGGCAGTGAGCTCAAACTCTCCTGGGACAGGCCCTCATGTGGAGGACATTTTCCATCCTTTTGTTCCCTGGGTTCCTCAGCCAGGATCCACTCTCAGGGGCCATGGCAGACTCTTTCCCATCACTGTGGGTTTCAGCCTGCTGATGGCAAAGAACAGAACTTAGCCAAGACTTTGAGGATTCTAAGAGCAAAGCCCATTTTGCCTTCTTGGGAAATATCAGCTTCTTCTTTTTCACAGGGGGTTTCCATGTTCTCGGGAAAGCATCTCAGGAAATGAACTTAGAACTTAAAGAAAGGCCCAGGGGGTGAGAGCCCTTGACCCACATTTCAGACCAGTTCTACCCTTTCGGTACCCCCAGGGGCTGGTACAAGTAGCTGGCACCTATGATATCTGTGTCAAAGTTTCCACAGCCCGAGTCAGGACCCTCCCTGTGGGGCACACATTTGGCAGAGGGTGAAGAGTCTGGGCGGTGATAAATTGCAATTTTATCCCTGGGCTCCATCCAAAGAAGTTATTCTTGCGACTTGATTATTGCCCAGCAGATCCCAGGAGTTCTGCCTAGAGTCGTCCTGGGCAAGTTTTGTTTTGTGTCTTGTGGTGGCCCCTAGGCCTGCCCAGAGGCAGCAGGTGGTACCCAGAGCAGGGACAGGGGCTCAGGGATGCTGGCTACCTCTGAACCCCGTTGCTCCTCCAGGAATTATCACAAATGTGAGTTATCTGCTCCACCACACATGTGGTCCTCTGCTCTGCACGTATGTGGGGGGAAGCACACTGGGGCACCTCCCTCTGGGGGCAGGTGGGTCATACAGATCAGACTCTGCCCTGGTTGGGAGTTGATGCCAACACAGCAGAGCAATCTCCAACCCTTAGGACTGACTGCATCTTACTGGTCCTGCGAAAGAGATGCCTGGGTAAATAATTAAGATGGCAAGACCTGACCACTGCCCCAGGGACCTGCCCAGCCACCAAAGTTGTGGACCAGAGGGCAAACATCTGCATGGGTACTGTGCCTGGCTCCAGCCAGAAGAAGACTAAGGAGAGGACTGAGCTTTGTACTGCAGGGTGGAAGTCAGCACTTCAGGACAGGTTCCCCATGCTCCAGAAGGGACTTGGTGCTTGGAGTGGGACCCAATATTCAAGGCAGGGCCTGGTGCTTCAGGGCCAGCAGGGCAAGCATGAGCCCATGCCCCGTGCCCCTGTGTGTGAAACTACCCGTTTCCTCTTTCAGGGAAGACACAGCTGCCTGGAGGGTCGATGCTCTAGGCTAGGCTTTTCACAGTGTGTGAAACTGTATGCCAGACCCAGAAAGAGCTGGAGAGACACAAAGATGCAGGCACAGGGATGCAGAGAAGAGAGATCTACAGGGAACTCCCTGGCGGTCCAGGGGCTAAGATTCTGCACTTCCACCGCACGGAGGGCGGGTTCCATTCCTGGTCTGGGAATTAAGATCCCACAGGCCATGTGGCATGGACAAAAAAAAAGCAAAACTATAGTTACTGCGGCAGAGACTGTGTGGGAGTGAAAAAGACGATGACAGAGAAAGGCACGCTCCTGACCCGATACAAAGGGAGCTTCACTCAGGCGGAGTCTTCCTAGACGGAAGAGGACGAGGGAGTAACCGGTGAAAGACCCGCAGGGCCAGGTTTCTAGGGCGAGAGCTTTCTGCAAGTCGGCCTGCAGCCTTCACTTGCGCAGCACCGAGACGGAGGGCAGGGCTCAGGATTCAGAAAACCGGCTCCGGGCCAGGTCTCAGCGTCCAGGCCGCTCCTGCTAAGTCTGGATGAAGAGGTGGAAGTTGGTGCGCGTGAACTCGTGATGGATGCTCTCCAGGAGCGCGTCGGCGTCAGCGGCGGGCGCCGCCGGGGCGCCCGGGGCCCCCGGCCGCGCACTGTACTCGGGCGTGTAGGTGAAGGAGAAGGCGCTGGGGTAGAAAAGACCGTCGGTGCGCACGAGGCTCACGGGCACTGTGATGGGTGTGCGCAGCCAGCGCCAGTCGCTGCCGAAAACGGCTACGTCGGGTACCACACAAACGAGGGACCGCGGGCTCCTGGGGGTCGGGCAACGAGGTCAGGGCAGCAGCGATGCTGATGGCAGGCACCCCCTCCCCACCAGCTCCGTTCTCTGGGAGACAGGGAACTCCGCCCCCCCCCCATACCTGTACATGGTTTCGGCCTCCACGTCCCCGAACCACACCTTGAGCCCCGCGTGGAAGTTCTCACCGTGGAGCTCCAGGGTGGCCACGTCGCCCCCGCCACTCAGCTGGGGGAGGGTGAGACCAAGGGGTGTGGGAGAAGCGGTGGGACGGGGGGCGGGGGTTGCTGCCCTCCCTCACCTACACTCCCACCCCGCCCAGAGCAGTCAGGATCCACGCCCGCCAGCGCCCCGCTGCGCCCGGATTCACCTCGAGGGTGCTGATGAGCGGCACGGGAGTGACCGGCTCCCGGGTACACGCCAGGCTGGTGCTGAAGGAGAATTCCACCGACTCGGTGCCGATGATGGTCCAGCAAGAGTTGTCGTTGAGCAGCGCTCTGTTGGCCTCCTTGGGGCAGGGGGAGGCCTGAGGGGAGACCCGAGGGGATGGAGAAGAAGATGCGGGCGCGGGCGGCCATCAGCGCAGCCAGCCGGCGCAATGCCGGTGCGGCCGCATTCCTAACGTTCCAGTGCTGGGCTCTGCGGTTTACCTGCCCTGCGAGCTTGGACCAACATTTAATTTCTCTATTTAGAGCTACCTCAGCTCGCTGGACTAGCTGGTTTCTAAAGATCTATGTTCTTAGAATTCTAGAATTCCATTAAAAAAAAGAAAGAAAGAAAAATATTATGCAATCCTGTGCCCTAAACATTCCAACACTTTAAAATGCTTTTGGAAGGATTATTGCTCAATAATAATGTGATTTTCTACATATTATGATTTTATCTCAACATTCCATGATAATGTTCTTTGTATTGCTTAATAATAATAGCAATTTTTCATATTTGACAATCCTATGTCTTAACATTACATGATTCATCTTTGCTCAGTAATACTCAAACCTACTATTTATTACTGATTTTTATCTACATTCTACAATTTTTTTTTTCTTAGCCCCGTGCCTCCGGGCTTGTGGGATCTTAGTTCTCAGACCAGGAATGGAACCCCAGCCCCCTGCGGTAGAAGTGCCAAGTCGTAGCCACTGGACCACCGGGGAATTCCCCTACAATTTTATATCACAACATTCTATGACTTTACTAGCCTTTGGGAAGGAGCATTGCTCAATGCTACTATTACTATTTTTTTCTACATTCTCTGATTCTATCCTGATAGTCTTCGTGTCTAACATTCCATAGGAGGCAGTGTTGCTTGGTGAGTAGCAACCACGATGGTGATGATAATGGTGATCTTATATCCTACTGTTCTTTGCCGTTCTGATTTTCTGGGATGCTTGGTGCTGAGAGTCTCTGCTTCTCACCTGAAACTGCACCACCTTCTCTGTAGCGAGACATAAGTAGGTGCCGCCTCCTCCTGGAGGATCACCGGTAAACTGGAATGCACACTTGTGGAGTTGGGAGATGGGCTCATCCACATCGAGGAGGGCACACTGTTTGGCTACTTTGCGGATGATCTACGGCAGAAGTGTGGGGAAGGTGTGGCAGCAGGGTGCCTGGGTGCCCACAGGCTGCCCTTCCAGCCAGCTCTCTGCTGCCCCGATAGCCATGCGGAATGCTGGCATATTGCTGGCATATCCGCCCCCCTACCATGACAGCCCTTGACCTCCACACAGTCCCACAAACGCTGAGTGTCCCCAGTGAGGATAGGGGTCATCATGCTTTGGGTGCTCACCCTCAGCCCTTCCCTTGTGGATGGATCTGGGGTGACCCGTCCAGCTGTGCCCTCCCTTCCCATACCATCGGAGGTAGGGTGATGCCCGTGACCGTACAGACGAGCTGCACCAGGGAGCCGTAGCGGACGTAGCCCTCTCGAGGCGGGAAGTCCCCCTGGGAACAGTCTTCATCAGCTGAGGAATAAACAGAAGGCAGGAGGGCTTCAGGGGTCCTAAGCTTCTGTCCCAAATCCTGTTGCCTCTGGCTCTGCCTCGAATCACACGTGGGTCTTATGGGCGGGGGGCTCTCAGCCTGGAGAAACCCCTTGTGGCCCATCCTTGAGAATGCCTGTGCCCTGCGGGCAGGGGCTGAGTCAGGGGGAAGGGCTGGGTTCAGTTACTGACTCACTAGGACTTTTGACAAGTCTTTTGGTGTCTGTGAGCCTCGGTTCCACGGGGCAACATTTACTTCCCTGGGCGAGTTGTGGTGAAGATTAAATAAGTGAATGCATGTGAAGTGCCCAGATCCGGGCCTGCTGGTGGGATTACCCAGGTGGAGAGTGAAGGCAGCCCACTGGCGTGCGCTGGCCACAAAATCCCCATCCTCCACAGAGAGGTAGCGCGTGGAGACTGTCTGGGAGCGCAGGCGGTTGAAGAGGGAGACCTTCGAGCCCGAGGATATGCACACTGTGAGGGGAAGTAGAGTCAGTGCCCGGGCCTGGCTTGGCCCCTTGGAATTGCCAGTGAAGTTCCCACCCTCTGTCCCCTGAGCCAATCTGGCTCAAATTTCCAGACACACTAGCCATTTATTGTCTCACGGCTACTTATCTAGCACCTGCTATAACACTGCTTCTATACCTCGGTCTGGTCCTTTTCACTGCCTGGGCACGAAAAACAGAATTTTATCAAGTAGTTACTAAATGCCTACTTGGTGGCCTGCCCTACGCTGGGTGCCAGGCACCAATGGGTGAATTAGACTTACTTTTGCTCTGGAGGAGTTCACAGTCTCAGAGTGGGGACAGGAAATAAATAAAAACTTTCAGTAGGATGTAGTAAGGGCAGGCTGGGTTCCTGAAGGCTTCCTGGAGGAGGTTATACTCTCAGCTGGGGAGGACGAGGTAGGTAGGAGGTGCTCAGGAGACTGTATAAGCAAAAGGCATGTGGTGTGAAATAGCAGTGTATTTGTACGGTTTAATACTGAACTCTTTCGGCCTTTAGCACAGATTCAGAGCCACCATTCTTCTTTCTGACTGGATTTTGAGCAACTGGGGAGAAAGAACTGGGTCATCACCCATTCTTCCCTCACAGTGCTAGGCATACTGTAGGTGTTCAATGTATACTTAACCTAAGTTCCCATCCACTATCATAATGATGATAGCTAACGTTTATTGTAGGGGACTGGAATGCAAAAGTAGGAAGTCAAGAAACACCTGGAGTAACAGGCAAATTTGACCTTAGAGTACAGAATGAAGCAGGGCAAAGTCTCATAGAGTTTTGCCAAGAGAATGCACTGGTCATAGCAAACACCCTCTTCCAACAACACAAGAGAAGACTCTACACATGGACATCACCAGATGGTCAACACCGAAATCAGATTGATTATATTCTTTGCAGCCAAAGACAGAGAAGCTCTATACAGTCAGCAAAAACAAGACCGGGAGCTGACTGTGGCTCAGATCATGAACTCCTTATTGCCAAATTCAGACTTAAATTGAAGAAAGTAGGGAAAACCAATAGACCATTCAGGTATGACCTAAATCAAATCCCTTAGGATTATACAGTGGAAGTGAGAAATAGATTTAAGGGACTAGATCTGATAGACAGAGTGCCTGATGAACTATGGACGGAGGTTCGTGACATTGTACAGGAGACAGGGATTAAGACCATCCCCATGGGAAAAAAAATGTAAAAAAGCAAAATGGTTGTCTGAGGAGGCCTTACAAATAGCTGTGAAAAGAAGAGAAGTGAAAAGAAAAGGAGAAAAGGAAAGATATTCCCATCTGAATGCAGAGTTCCAAAGAATATCAAGGAGAAATAAGAAAACCTTCCTCAGCGATCAATGCAAAGAAATAGAGGGAAATAACAGAATGGGAAAGACTAGAGATCTCTTCAAGAAAATTAGAGATACCAAGGCAACATTACATGCAAAGATGGGCTCAATAAAGGACAGAAATGGTATGGACTTAACAGAAGCAGAAGATATTAAGAAGAGGTGGCAAGAATACACAGAAGAACTTTACAAAAAAGATCTTCATGACCCTGATAATCACGATGGTGTGATCACTCAGCTAGAGCCAGACATCCTGGAATGTGAAGTCAAGTGGGCTTAGAAAGCATCACTACGAACAAAGCTAGTGGAGGTGATGGAATTCCGGTTGAGCTATTTCAAATCCTGAAAGATGATGCTGTGAAAGTGCTGCACTCAATATGCCAGCAAATTTGGAAAACTCAACAGTGGCCACAGGACTGGAAAAGGTAAGCTTTCATTCCAATCCCAAAGAAAGGCAATGCCAAAGAATGCTCGAACTACCACACAATTGCGCTCATCTCACATGCTAGAAAAGTAATGCTCAAAATTCTTCAAGCCAGGCTTCAGCAATACATGAACTGTGAAGTTCCAGATGTTCAAGCTGGTTTTAGAAAAGGCAGAGGAACCAGAGATTAAATTGCCAACATCTGCTGGATCATAGAAAAAGCAAGAGAGTTCCAGAAAAATATCTATTTCTGCTTTATTGACTATGCCAAAGCCTTTGACTGTGTGGATCACAATAAACTGTAGAAAATTCTGAAAGAGATGGGAATACCAGACCACCTGACCTGCCTCTTGAGATACCTGTATGCAGGTCAGGAAGCAACAGTTAGAACTGGACATGGAACAACAGACTGGTTCCAAAGAGGAACAGGAGTACGCCAAGGCTGTATATTGTCACCCTGCTTATTTAACTTATATGCAGAGTACATCATGAGAAACACTGGGCTGGAAGAAGCACAAGCTGGAATCAAGATTGCTGGGAGAAATATCAATAACCTCAGATATGCAGACAACACCACCCTTATGGCAGAAAGTGAAAAGGAACTAAAAAGCCTCTTGATGAAAGTGAAGGAGGAGAGTGAAAAAGTTGGCTTAAAGCTCAACATTCAGAAAACTAAGATCATGGCATCTGGTCCCATCACTTCATGGGAAATAGGTGCGGAAACAGTCGAAATAGTGTCAGACTTTATGTTTTTGGGCTCCAAATCACTGCAGATGGTGATTGCAGCCATGAAATTAAAAGATGCTTACTCCTTGGAAGGAAAGTTATGACCAACCTAGACAGCATATTAAAAAGCAGACACATTACTTTGCCCAACAAAGGTCCGTCTAGTCAAGACTATGGTTTATCCAGTAGTCATGTATGGACGTGAGAGTTGGACGGTGAAGAAAGCTGAGCACCGAAGAATTGATGCTTTTGAACTGTGGTGTTGGAGAAGACTCTTGAGCATCCCTTGGACTTCAAGAAGATTCAACCAGTCCATCCTAAAGGAGATCAGTCCTGGGTGTTCACTGGAAGGACTGATGTTGAAACTGAAACTCCAATACTTTGGCCACCTCATGTGAAGAGTTGACTCATTGGATTGGGGGCAGGAGGAGAAGGGGAAGACAGAGGGTGAGATGGCTGGATGGCATCACCGACTCGATGGACATGGGTTTAGGTAGATTCCAGGAGTTGGTGATGGACAGGGAGGCCTGGTGTACTGCAGTTCATGGGGTCGCAAATAGTCGGACATGACTGAGCAACTGAACTGAACTGAACTGAACTGAACGTTTATTGTTTTTCAGGTACTGTTTTAAATGCTGAACATGAGTTAGCTCTTTTGCTTCTCAACAACCCTCTGCAGTAGATAATATTATCTTTACTCAAGAGAACAACTCCCTCAAGATCACACAGCTAGCCAGCGGCAGAGCCAGAATTCAAACCCAGGCCACCTCGTTCCAGAATCTGCACTTAAACCCGTCACATTGTATCACCTTACCATTCCCTGGCCCTGTCCTCACACCAGCGGCCAGCCAGAGCACTACCTGAATCTGAGACATCCTTCAGCGTTTTTAACAGAAAGTAAATAAGGTGCGGGGCGGGAGTGGGCTTGAGTCACATCAACTCAAGTTCAAATGCTGGCTGGACCACTTTTCTAGCTGGGCAGGCCTAAGCAAGTCATTTGGAAGGTGATGGGCCCCAATATTTCTTTTTTTTTTTTTTTTCATTTTTCTTTTCCTTTTTTCTGGTCTCCCTAAGTGGCATACAGGATCTTAGGGTTCACCAACCAGGGATCAAGCCTGAGTCCCCTACAGTGGAACCACAGAGTCTTAACCACTGGGTTGCCAGGGAAGTCCAAGGCCCGAACATTTCTTAAACAAATGGATGGATGTTCTGCATCTCATTTTCCTCACCTACCACTCACCTTACAAGGATGAGTATCAAACAGGGTGATGAATGTACATGCCCGCCAAGAAAGGCCCCGTTTCCCCAGCTTCTCCCTTCCATCTTCCAGGGAGGGTGATGGTGTTATTGTCGTTCAGGCTTTTTTCCCCCTGCATTTTCAAACCCATTAGCCCCGGGGTTTATCACTTGGCATCCAGGGCAGTACTTATCTCCAACTGTCTCTTTGATCAGCTATGTGTGTCTCTCCCCTGCTAGGCTAGGCTGTTCCTCCAGAACAGACACTTGCAATGCACATCAGGCACTGAACAAATATTTTTAACTGAATTTCCTCTGCCCTTTTATTATTATATTTTGTCTTTAGTTCAGCACCTGCCAGCTATTTTGGGGCCTCCCAACCTCAAATTGGGTACCTAGGCCACGCCCACTCATCCAGACCCGGCCCCGCTTTCGGCTCAGACTCCCAGGCCTCTCCCCCTCCCCCTTCCCAAATCAAGCCCCTTGCAGACCTCGGGCACCTCCCCAAGCCCGCCCGGCGGCGAGGCCCCGCCCCCGCTCACGGTCGGTGTTTTTCAGCGACTGTTTCTTCTGCGAGGGCTTGGAGATGACCTTGATGAGGCGGCTGTGGAAGGTGCCCAGCTCCCGGCCGCCTCGGAGCATGAGCCGCAACACCAGTCGGAAGTGCTTCCTCTTGTCTGCGTCCGAGATGTACAGAGTCTTGGCGCAACTGAATTCCTACCGGGTTCGCGGGGACGGGGTCGTCTCATCGCAGCCCTAAGTCACGGGATGAGCCCACCTCCCCCAGTTATCTGACGCCCGCCCCGTCGGACGTGACATGACACGTCCAAGTTCTTGGGCTCAGCCTCAAGGCGGAAACCCGGTCTCTCCGCATCCCCACCTATCTTTTGGCTCCTGCAGGGGGAATGACGGAGTCCCCTCTCCTCCCCGGTCCCCTCCAAGGGAGAGGTGAGGCTGGGAGAAGGAATCGCAGCTCACCCACCCCCACCGCCCCCCTCCCGCCCCCCTCCTGCCATGCGCTCTCACCCTGGAGTCCGGCTGCTCTTCGAAATTCAACTTCTGCGTCTCGGCGGCGCTGCCGGACGCGCCGTCTAGTCCTATGTAACCGCAGACCAGGGGCCCAGTCTCCCCTGACTGGTGGGCTGCAAAGGGATGCGAGCCGGCTCTGGCGGCACTCAGGTGTCAGCCAGGCAAGCTTAGTTCTCGCCGCCAGAGGGCGCGGCGAGACTGCGCCTGAGAACCGCCCCGCTCCCGGGCCCTACAGAGTGGCTAGTCCCCTTGTAAACGGAGCCGCCCGGCCGCCCTGGAGTCCGCCCTCACCTTGGCCCGGCACTGGCTTCACCCTCCAGCCGGGACCTGCGAGGTAGACACAGGGCGGCGGGCAGAAGAACCTGCAGAGACATGTAAGCGCCGGACTCGTATATCCATCTCCATTTGAGTGTCCTGTCTTTGAGGCATCACAAAGATAGCAGAAAGCCAACGGAATCCTTGATTCCTCCTCCATCTCCCCAGGTTTCTCCATTAATACCCGAATCTTTCTTTTCTTTTTTTCACATTCCTCACTCAATCCATCAGTAAGTCCTATCCACCACCTTTAAAACATATTTAGAATCCACTGACTTTTGACCACCTCCGTCTTTGTCCCAACTGCCATCAATTTGCCTGGACCACTGCATCAGCCTCCCATTGGTCTCTCTGCTTCCGCTCTACCCCCCCTTCGACCTGTTTTTCACACAACAGCCAAATTGGTTTTTTTTTTTTCTTTTTTTAGAGTATGTTGCTTATCTTAGTCCTCCAGTGGTTTAAATTCAAAGTGCTTACATGATCTGGCCCCTGCTTACTTCTCCAACTTCACTTCCTATGATGATCCCTCTCCTTCTCTAATTCCAGCCAGTCTGACTTCTTTTGGCCTCCAACAGGCCAAGTTAGTACAGAGTCTAGGTCTTTGCATTTTTCATTGCTTCTAATTAAAACATGCTTCCCCCAGACTTTCTGACATCCCGCTCCATTTTCACATTCAAGTCTTAGTTCGAATGTCACCTCCTTAAAAGGCCTTCCTACCACCTTGACCTTGCTAGCTAAATACACCCCTGCCCTTCAGTTTCTCTCACCTTGCCCCATTTGGTTTCCCTTCTAGCTCTCATCACCATCTGGGAGCATCTTCTTCACTTATCTGTAAGGTGTTTATTGTCTGTCTCTCTCACACTAGAGCAAAGATGCCACAAAGGCAGTGATCGTATCTGTCTTGTCCAGCTGTGTGCTGGGAGCCCAGCAGTGCCAGAGAGCCTGACGCATGATAAGCACTCACTAGGCAGTTGTGGAATGAAAGAATGAATGAATGGGTGAATGAGTGAATGGGGATTGTAGATTCACAGACTTTGATCAACAAAGCGGAGCTGATGGTGACTGAGGGAAAAGGCCGCTGATTTGCTAAGAACCGGAGCCCTGAGTCCTCTCCAGGTTCTGTGTGTGGTCTTTCGTGCATATGGGTGCTCAGTCATGTCTGACTCTGTTTGACCCCATAGACTGTAACCCGCCAGGCTCCTCTGTCCATGGAATTTTCTAGACAAAAAAATACTGGAGTGAGTTGCCATTTCCTTCTTCAGGGGATCTTCCCGACCCAGGGATTGAACCCATGTCTCTTGTGTCTCCTGTTTTAACAGGTGGACTCTTTACCACCTGCACCACCGGGGAAGCGAAAACACTCTAAACAGGGAGGGGGACCACAGGGCTAAAGGCGAGTCCTGGGGACCTTGGAGGGCCACCGAAGGACCTACCTCTTCTCATTTCCGTATGATTTCTGGGCCACCTTGGCGTGCAGGATCCGAACCGTCTGCTCGCACTGCTGCTGCAGGCAGCGGCGCACGCCTTCCCTCAGGACCGCGCTGGGCTCCGGGGCTGACCTGGGGCTGGGTGGGGGCGGGCCGGGCACCCGCAGCAGGGAGCTTAGAGACCCAAGCGGGCAGATTGAGTGAAGTGAATGGGAAGAAGGGGCCCTCCCAGTTCCGCCCCCTCGGGGTCAAAGGGAAGAAACCTCCGGCAGGAGAGGCGACTCGAGTGTAAGCTGTGGGCGAACCCTTTGGGTGGCGGGGAGCTCAGTGAGGTCTTCATGGCGACCACCGGGACCGCCCAGGCGCCACTCCGCAGGTCTGGCTCCGCGCCCACCGCAGCCTGGAGCACTGGGGTGAGGCCCCGGCGCCACAAAGGCCTCGCTTGTGCCGGCCTCGAGGCGGAGGCTGAGTTTGTGAGGGCACGTGGCTTCCCAGCACCCTGAAGGGACCCACCCCGGGGCAGTCCTGATGCGGATGGGGCGGAGGCGCGGAGAGAGAGAAGGGGAGAGTGGTTGCTGGACCCCGGACCGGAAGAGTGCTCTCTGGCCCGCCTGCTGATGCCTGAAAAAAATGGACGGGCCCCCCAAACTATGTGCCTGGGATCTTGGAATATTTTCGTATTTTTCGGGTTAAAGCAACACTCCCAACCCCCTATCTCCCAAGAGAAGGCTGTCTCAGCTGTCTCAGCTTTCCTTCCCCTGAACACAGGGCCTCCATCGGCCCTGTGGAGGGGGCCAGTCAGGGCCTAGGGGCCTGGGGGGGTCTCCGCCAGAGTGTTTTGATGGGCGAGGATGGCTGGGCCCAGGACCTCAGTAATTCCAGAGAACGTGGAAAGGCGTCCGTGAGGGCAGGATCCGAGGCACCACCAGGTGGGGCCTGGGGAGAGCCACGAAGCCTCAGGCTGCCCTTCTGAACCCTTTATCCCTCTTTGCAGGACCAGAGTCCCGGGCCTCTCGCCACCCCTGGAAGGGGTGGCGGGGGTCAAGAGCCGGGCCGCGCCCTCGGAATAGGGGCCAAGAAGCCGGCGGCCGAGCCAGGCCCCGCTCCGCCCCTTGGGGCTCTCCCCGGGGAAGGGCCTCGGAGGCTTCCAACGCATTCCGGCTGCGGAGAGCGTAGCTGCCCAGCCTCCCGCGGGAGCCCGACTCCCGCCCCGCAGCTCGCGTCTGCGGCTCCAGGCGTGGCGGGAGCAGGGGGCGTCGCGCTGGCCCCGCCCCAGCCCTCGGAGGAAGAGGGGGTCGCTCCCTGTCAGTGGGAGGGGTCGCGGCCCGCGTTCCCCCTCCCCACCCACCGGCCCCCGGGTTAAATGCGGCCGCCGCCTCCGCCCGCTCCAGCTGCCTGGCCGTCCCCACCTCGGGCACACTGCCCGTGCCGGTACCTGGTCCAACTGCGCGGGAGGCTCCGCCCGTCGGCTCCGCTCTGCGGCCGCGCCTCTGAGCTGTCCGGCAGGCTCAGGTGAGTCAAAGGGCCCGGGGGCGCCGAGGGGTCTGCGGGGAGCAGGCATCCAGCCAGACCAGGCGCCCGTATTTAGACGCGGCTGCACCGCCTACGGTGCCCCGTCTGACCTGCAGCGCCCTTCCCCACCTCTGCAGAACCCTCTCCAAATAGAGCCCCCACGAGCACGGCCGCCAAAACGGAGAAGGGGGACCTTATCCCCAATCTCCTCCCTCTAAGAACCCCCGGCACGCCCTCCCTCCCCCGCCACCCGTTCCCCGGAATATCCTCTAAGTGTTTATTCTTTAACCAACTCTTGAGGAATTACTCACAAACCTCTCCTCCCTCGAAAATCCACTTTCTCCATCCTAAGGGCATTTCTTAACGCAAGCATTAACCCCCTCGAGGAGCTCCGGGTTCTGGGGTCAGCCCTGTCACCTTGCCACGTTGCTGTGTGACCTGGGCAAGACATTACTGTCTCTGGTCTTGACTCCTTCCTCTCTAGAATGAGGAGTTGGAAGGGTGATGAACTTGGACGCAAGCCCTATTTTGACTTTCTAGGATTGGGTGGAGGTGGGGTGCCAAGCGAGATGTTGGATCAGGCCAAGAGCAGGAGAAGGGGAAACTTAAGATTTAAGGGGCCCAGAGGCTTCTGCAGACAGGAACGGATGGGAGGGGCCAAGGCGCCCTGTGCCTGTACGCCCGGGCTGCCCAGGGGGGCTCGCCTGCTGGGCTGTGGCCCACGCTGGAGGAGGCATTCCACACCCTCCCACCTCCAGGAGAGGCTGGCACGTCTGGCTTAGCCGCCCTCCCACGACAGGTTCTGCCAGAGGGGTATTTGTTCCTTTACCAGGCCTGAAAGGCGAAGGAGGTGAGGATCCGTGACAGGGAGGGCGCCTAGAGGGAGCGACAGGCACCCGGCCTTTCTCAGAATAAAACCATTCACGGAATTGGGGAGGGGGCGGGGCTGCGGTTGGATTAGGGGCAGCTGGCCCCCTCTGCCAAGAAACAGAAACAGAAAAATGGCTAGCACAGCTTCAGCAAGGGGCGAGGGGATGGGGGTGGAGTAGGGACCCCAGGGAGAGAATGGAAGAAAAAGAGGTGACGCCTAAGGACCAGGTTGCCAGGTCTCTCAGAAGGAAGAACAGGAGCCAGGAGTCCTAGGTTCCTTTGCATCTCGGCGGGCCATCTTCTTGAGCCTCACTTTTCGCATCTGTACAATGGGAGTCCTTCGTGATTTTCAACGGGCGTCGCCAAGGGCCAAGAGAGAGTGAGCGCTCACCTGCCCCCACGGGGTCCATGGCCGAGTCCGGGGGCGTCCAATGCCACTGTCCCCGGAGCCCTGCGTGCGCACTTCTGCTCCTCGGCTCTAGCGCCGGATATATTCTACCCCAGCCTTATCTCCAAGGCCCTGGGGCTCCTGGCTCCCTGTTTGCTTTGGGCAGGAGCACCTGCTGGGCAGATGTGGGCTTCCCACGGCCACCTAGCCAACACGGCTAGACCCAAGAGGGCGCCCCCTGGAGACCTCTCCTGAGAGCAGGCGGGAAGGGGCGGCACCACGTCACAAGTTCATCCGCGTGGTGGGTTTCGGCCAAGGCGACAGCAGGCCTGCACTGGGGCCCTGCCTGTTTGAGGCGAAGGGTGGGGTGGTGGTGGTGGGTGGGAGCACAGTCACACAGAGCTGCCTGTGTGCAAAGGGGAGGGGGCGAGGTGGGGGATGGCTTCCCTCTGCAAAGAGTCACGCGGCTGCTCCTTGGAACCCCATAGGCGTAGGATTATATCCTGGAGGAGTCACTTTCTTGCCACGCGACTTCGGGTACACGCAGTGAAGTTTCTGGGCCTCTTTCCTCATCTATACTCTGGGGACAGCAACAGCCTTGGACTCACAGAATTGTTGAGAGGACTCAATAAATGCCACAGTGCATGAAAAGCATTTATCATCGTTCCTGGCACTGAGGAAAGGCCTTTCCTTTTGAAATTTAGTATATTTTCAAATCTACTTTCTATTTATTTACTGTTCTGCAGTTCTGAAAAGCAGAATTCCCTGTGTTTCCAGCAAACTCACTGTGATGAATTTTTTTATAATGAAAATTTTCACCATGCACGAAACTAGAGAGATTAGTAAAATAAACCCATGACCCTTCTCCCCCTCCAAATGCCCATCACCTAGAATAAGAGCTCTGTAAACACTTTTGCTCTGATATTTTCCTTCCTCTTCAGGCTCCGACACCTCCGTTCTGTTGGCTGAGCGCCATGAGGGGGCTCCTATATTCGCTGCTGCCCCTGTTGCTGCTCCTTCTCCAGCCTTGGGAAACCCAACTGCAGTTCGCAGGTGAGCCAGGGTCCACCGTCACCAGCAGGCGGGGAAGGGAGCAAAAGCGGGTTCTCCATCTGCAGCCAACTGCACACCAGGGAGAGAAAAGGAAGAGCTTTGGAACTCTAAGGGGTTGGGTTCGAGTTCACAGATTCGTTTCTGTGGGCCTCAGTTTCCCCAGTCTGTATGAGGTGGCTTGGAGGCAGCTAAGTTGGGCTCAGGCAGAACTGCCCAGTTGGCATTTCATTTTTAAAAGTTAACTGAAGAAAAAAAAAAAAAACTTAGGCGATTTCACACTTAAAAAAACCAATTTGGGGCTTCTCATGAAAAGACTAAAGATCTGCTAACATGGGGTCCTCACGACTGCAAGGCAACATTTGGTTGGGGCTGCCCACTTCAGGAACCATACGGGCTCTCTGAATGTCCACCGTCCTAACCCCAATACATTCCCTCCTTTATTTACGTTGCCTGCCTGGCTCCTAGAGACATTTGAGTTTGCTACATCCCTTTGTCCCCCTTCCGAATGGATAATACCCCCTCAGAGATATTAGCCCTCAGAGCTGCAGGGTAGGGATTCGGTGGAGTCTCCCTCCTCAGCCCCTCAGCAAATACTGTTCGAGTGGGTGGATCTAACCTGCATTTGCAAGGTTAATTCTGCGCTGGGCGCTGTTCCGCCGGACAGCAGTGTTCCGCTCTGGGTTTCCGTGGGGGTTCTCCCGGGACTTGAGGCTTTGCTAACCTAGGAGAGCCTTTCCTCATCTCCTCGCAGGTCCCAGGTGCAGTACTGGGCCCCTGGATTTGGTGTTCGTGATTGACAGCTCGCGCAGCGTGCGCCCCTTCGAGTTCGAGACTATGCGGCAGTTCCTGGTAGGCCTTCTCCGCAGCTTGGACGTGGGGCCTAACGCCACTCGCGTCGGCGTGATCCAGTATTCGAGTCAAGTGCAGAGCGTCTTCCCGCTCCGAGCCTTCTCGCGCCGCGAGGATATGGAGCGCGCCATCCGCGCTCTAGTGCCGCTGGCGCAGGGCACCATGACCGGGCTGGCGATCCAGTACGCCATGAATGTGGCCTTCAGCGTGGCCGAGGGCGCGCGCCCGCCGGAGGCGCGCGTGCCTCGCGTGGCCGTCATCGTGACCGACGGGCGGCCCCAGGATCGCGTGGCAGAGGTGGCCGCTCAGGCGCGCGCCCGCGGCATCGAGATCTACGCCGTGGGGGTGCAGCGCGCCGACGTGGGCTCCCTGCGCGCCATGGCGTCCCCCCCGCTGAACGAGCACGTCTTCCTCGTCGAGTCCTTCGACCTTATCCAGGAGTTCGGCCGGCAGTTCCAGGGCCGGCTGTGTCGTGAGTGAGGGGAGCGCTGGACGGAGTCTCCAACTCTCGCACCGCTCCCAGTCCGGTCCCCCACCCCGCAGTGAAATCCCATCCCCTCCGCAGTAGCCCCGCCCACTCGCCTTTAGCCCCGCCCACCAGGCCGGCGTTGCCCTGGCAACTGCGGTTCGGTCCAGTAGCTCAGTCTTGTCCGACTCTTTGCGACCCGATGGACTGCAGCACGCCAGGCCTCCCTGTCCATCACCAACTCCCAAAGCTTACTCAAACTCGTGTCCATCGAGTCGGTGATGCATCCAACCATCTCATCCTCTGTCGTCCCCTTCTCCCGCCTTCAATCTTTCTCAGCATCAGGGTCTTTTCCAATGAGTCAGTGGCCCACTGCGGGCTGTGTCAAATTCCAGCTCTGCCCAGTTTCGCTTAAGGCTTCCCCGCAACAAGGAGCGGCGTTTATCGTGCCCATCCATCTTGAAGAGCCATGGTGGTTTCCACGGGCTTCATGTCTAACTCCAAAACCTCCCCTTTACACAAGAAGCACCAGCCCTAACGGTTGAGCGCCATCGCCCTCCTAGATGAGCCAAGCCCCATCCCCCTGGACAGGACCCACCCACTCTTGTTCTAGCTCCTCCCACAATGCTGCCAGATGCGTTCCTGTCACACCTTGTCATTTGCTGCCCTCCCTGTGGCTCAGGTGGTAAAGAATCCGACTGCAATGCGGGAGATCTGGGTTTGAGCCCTGGGTTGGGAAGACCCCTTGGAGAAGGGAAAGGCTACCCACTCCAGTATTCTGGCCTGGAGAATTCCATGGACCCAGTCCATGGGGTCGCAAAGAGTCGGACACGACTTTCAGTTTCAATTGATCCCTTGACTTCCTCTACTTAACTCCGCGGAGTCCTTCCTTGTCCCCCCTGACCCATCTGGCTAGGTGCCCTGGTTTTCAGAGCCTACTCATGGGGGCCATTCAGGCCATATATTTTCCCTAAGCCCTCCCCTGGATTGGCCCCTCTCAAACGAGTCATATTTCATTTAAAGACATCCTGGAGCACGGGACCTGCCTTTGACCCCATCCAGCTCTCTCTTGCTGGAGTGTTCTCCCAGTCTGTTCGCTGATGATTCTACTCTTGTACGTCCTCAGGAAAGGACCTGTGTGCTCAGGGGGGACACGGCTGCCAGCACCAATGTGTCAGCGCCCCGGGCACCTTCCACTGTGCCTGCAACCCTGGCTACCAGCTAGCAGCAGATAACAAGAGCTGTGTGGGTGAGAACTCCCCCCATCCTGCACTCTCCCTGCTTCTGAACCTTCTGTGGCTCCCTATTGACCCAGCATCAGTCCAGTGAGTCTGGCAGGGCCTTTGGAAGTCAAACTCCAGCTCCCTCACTTTTCAGGTCTAGGAAAGAAAAGGTATCGCTTGGGGTCACACAACTCCTTGGTGGGACAAGGGCTAGAAGTCTTGACCCCACGGTTAAGTGGAATTTCTGCAATCTTCTCTCCTGCCTCATTCAGGCACACCTCTTAGCTGGCTCCAAAACACCTCCCAAACCTGTCTTTTCAGAGGTGCATCTTTACTGTTTCTGTTATTTAGACACTATTGGAATTTCCATGCATACATCCCCTATATTCCGCACCCATGCTGCTCGTTTCTGCTTCTGCATCTCAGTTCTTTCCCAGCTTCTCACCTGGGCTGCTCTTGCTGTGCCTCTCTGCACCCTCAGTCTCTCAAAGCCTGGTTCTTCATTTCTGCCTTCTGAAAAGCGATGACACACAATACCTTGCTTATGCATTTGGGATTTCCCCCCTCCATGTACTGAATATATGTGTGTCCTGTCCTTTGATTGTAATGGCAGCTACCATTTACTGGAATGGATTAGTGACAGACTTTATTTTCTTGGGTTCCAAAATCACTGCAGATGGTGACTGCAGCCATGACATTAAAAGATGCTTGCTTCTTGGAAGAAAACCTATGACAAACCTAGACAGCATATTAAAAAGCAGAGAAATTACTTTGCCAACAAAGGTCCGCCTAGTCCAAGCTATGGTTATCCTAGTAGTCATATATGGATGTGAGAGTTGAACCATAAGGAAAGCTGAGCACTAAAGAATTAATGCTTTTAAACTGGGGTGTTGGAGAAGACACTTGATAGTCCCTTGGACTGCAAGGAGATCCAACCAGTCACTCCTAAAGAAAATCAGTCCTGAATATTTTTTGGAAGGACTGATGCTGAAGCTCCAATACTTTGGCCACCTGATTCGAAGAACTGACTCATTGGAAAAGACCCTGATGCTGGGAAAGATTGAAGGCAGGAGGAGAAGGGGATGACAGAGGTTGAGATGGTTGGATGGCACCACCAACTCAATGGACACAAGTTTGAGTAAACTCCGGGAGATGGTGATGGACAGGGGAGCCTGGTGTGCTGCTGTTGATGGGATCGCAGAGTCAGACATGACTGAGCAACTGAACTGAATCAAACCATTTACTGAATGCCAAGTTAGCATCAGATATTGAACTAAGAGTGTTACATATGTCATCTGTCAACCTCACTACATTATGGAAAAAGAAGTCCTGTGTTTCCAATAACCCAGATGTCAGCTGGGGTCTTCTTGTTTTGGGGGCTTAGAAAAGCCTGGCTTGAAACCCTATTTGAAGACCTGGGAACATTCAAAACCTTCCTCAAGATCTCTGGGAACTCCAAGTGTTCACATTCTCTGGTCCCCTCTCACTCTGAGCTTCTACTGAATTCACTTGATTTATAGATCCTCTCTCAATTTCTCAGTCCATGCATGCTATGCATGTAAATCAGCCTCTTCACTGGTTTACACACTTGTGCACACAAGGGCATGTGTGTATGTGCCCTTGTCTATGTTGTGCATATGTCTATTTTACTAAATAATGGGGATGGACAGAGGTGTGACTTACATCTAAGTGAAGTCAAACATACACACAGAAAACGAAACATCCTTTATTTATAAATGAATATTAGGCACCCTTGACTCTGAAAGTGCGTAGTCACCCCTCTATACGGAATTCAGATAGGGATCAACCCATGTTACTCATCTCCATACCATCGCTCTTGTTCTTTTGTTCCCTCTCTCCACTCCCCATCTCTTTTCTAGGAACCCCACATTCTCACCCTTTTATACAGAGCAGCCCATCTTTCTCTAGTCCCTATTCCCCAGCTCAGCTCTAGGCCATATCTGTACATTGAAATCATCAAGATACTCAGCAGGGCAGTAGTTCACCCTCCTCAGAAGGTGGGTGTAAATAGCAATTGTTCTCTTCCATTAGGGCTTCCCGGGTGGTGCTAGTGGTAAAGAATCTGCCTGCCAGTGCAGGAGATGTAAGAGATATGGGTTTGATCCCTGGGTTGGGAAGATCCCCTGGAGGAGGGCATGACAACCCACTCCAGTATTCTGGCCTGGAGAATCCCACGAACAGAGGAGTCTGGCGGGCTAAAGTCCATAGAATTGCAAAGAGTTGGACATGACAGAGTGACTTAGCATGCACACCCGCTCTTCCATTGATTGTATTCCCGTTTTGCAGAGGGGGAAATGGAGGCTCAGACAGATTAAATGGCAGAGCCTGGTCCTCCCCTGTGAATTAGTGAGCATCTTGAAGGCAGAAGTCCTGTCTCAGCTGTGGAGTCCCATTCTTATGCCTGGCTTAGTAGTGGGCATGCTGGGGCTTGAGCTGGGAGGGCTGCTTGGCTCAGTAGGAAGGAGGCCTCTACTTGGCAAATCACAGATGCCTGGATGCCACCCTAGACTGAGTCAGGATCTTTGGGGATTGGGGTCCAGGCATAAGTATTTTTATTTACTTGTGTTTTTTGGCCATGCCCCGTGTCGTGTTGGATCTTAAATCCTCAACCGGGATTGAACCCAGGCCCCGTGCATTGGGAGTGTGGAGTGTTAACCGCTGGACCACTAGGGAAGTCCCAGGCATAGGTGTTTGTAAAAAGCCCCCGAGCAGGTGTGCTGTCAGGGCTGAGAAGTGCAGCGCCCGGGCCCAGGCTGACCTCACTCTTTCCTCAGCCCTTGACCTCTGCACCAAAAGGGACCATAGCTGTGGGCATCACTGCGTCAGCATCCCTGGCTCCTATTTCTGTCGGTGCCGAGCTGGCTTTGTACTCCAGCAGGACCAGAGGAGCTGCAGGGGTGAGCCAGCCCCCCAGCTGGTACCCTGTGCCGAGGTCTCTGATGACTCCAATCAGAACCGATGTATGTCTTTGTCTCTTCCTTCCCACCAGCCATTGACCACTGCAGCTTTGGGAACCACAGCTGCCAGCATGACTGTGTTAGCACTTTTGGTGGGCCACAGTGCCGCTGCAGAGAGGGCTATGACTTGCTGGCTGATGGGAGGAGCTGTCAGGGTGAGGAGGGGTCTTCTCCATTTGTGCAGAGGGGCGAGGGATCTCAGCTGGTGGAGTCCACCCTGAATCATCCTGACTTGTCTCTCCTTTCAGCCCAGGATCTTTGCAATGGCGTGGACCATGGATGTGAGTTCCAGTGTGTGAGTGAGGGCTTCTCCTACCGCTGCATGTGTCCTGAGGGGCGGCAGCTCCAGGCAGATGGCAAGAGCTGCAGCCGTGAGTTACAGGTGGAAGGGGGGTGATTCTGCCTGCCTCTGCCTCCCTGCCTCATTCTGAGCATCCTTCACTCTTTCTTTGCTGTGACCCATGAGTGTGGTGTAAATGTGTATGTGTTGGTGGTGGTGGAGTTGGAGGGTCTGCCATGCCCTGCCTCTACCTCTTTGTCTTTTTCTACCCTGTTGCCAAAGTTAATTTCAAAAACAGTATTTGATCACATTTCTCCCTTGCTCGAAAGCCTTCTGTGGCTCACCAGTGCTTACAAAATAAAGATCAAATGCCTTACCCCTGAGTTTTTCAAATGGTGGGTGTAACCATAGTGAATTACACAAGCGGTGGGTGTAACTATAGTGGATAACAAAATCAAATTAGTAGGTTACAAGTCAGAATTCTTTTTTAAAAAGAGAGAGAAAATAGAGTTTACTGTGTGTATGTAGAAAGAATAAGTATTGTTTCATGAAACTCAGCTTTAATTGTACGTGAGTATAAGGGCATCATGGGCTTACCAGGTGGCGCTAGTGATAACCCACCTGCCAATGCAGGGGATATAAGAAACACAGGTTTGATCCTTGGGTTTGAGACGATCCCCTGGGGAAGGGAATGGCAGCCCACTCCAGTATTCTTGCTGGAGAATCCCCGTGGACAGAGGAGCCTGGCGGGCTACAGTTGATAGGGTCGCAAAGAGTCAGACACAACTGAAGCAACTTAGCATGGCATGGCATGGCACATAACTGCATCATAATGCATTATTATTATTTTACTGTGAGTTGTGGCCAAAATTTTGAAACCACTGCCTTAGGTCATTAAAATATTGCTTCAGCTAACCTCTTCATCCTGTCTCCTGCCATAAACATTTGATCCATACTGGCCTGCCCATTCCCAAACGTGCCGAGGGCTCCTGGCTTCCATGCCTCTACACACATTGCCCCCACCATCTAGAATGTCCCTTCCTGCCTTGGAGAACTCCTGCTCATCCCTGAAGACCAAATCACTTGTCATCACCTCCATGCAGCCTTCCTCACCAACTCTAGGAAGAATCCTACCTTGCTCCCTGCCTGCCCCTCTATTCAAACACTTCCCTTGATGGTCACTGATGGCATATGTGACCACTCTGCTTCATCCCTGTTTCCTTATGGATCAGGATTATGTTTCATTTATTGTCAAATCTCCCTTGGGGCCTTAGCAAGGTCTCTGGCTGAGAACAGGGGAGGCAAAGTGCTCAGAATTCTGTTGGTTAACATAGCAGATGATCATAAACAGTAGCTACTGTGATGATGATGATGAAAAAGATGCCTTTAGCAGGTTGCCTGGCTGTGCTAAACATTTGCTTGCTAAGCCGCTTCAGTCATGTCCCATTCTTTGTGACCCCGTGGACTGTAGCCCACTAGCCTCCTCTGTCCATGGGATTTCCAGGTAAGAATGTTGGAGTGGGATTTCCAGACAAGAGTACTGGAGTGGGTTGCCATGCCTTCCTCCAGGGGATCTTCCCCACCCAGGGATCAAACCGGAGTCTTGCGGCTCCTGCATTGGAGGCAGATTCTTTACCACTGAGCTACTAGGGAAGCCCCATGCTAAGCACTTAATAAATGGTAAAGATAATAAGGATGCCAATGATAATGATGTGATGATTAGTTTTTATTATTTTAGCACAGTGCCTGGCATAGGAAGAACTTCACACATAGTATCTGTTATATAATAAATGTTTGCAAATGAATGAATGAATGAGCAAGTGGCTGCTGCCAGCCCTCACTCCCAGCTCTTCTCCTCCGGTGAGGTGTAGGGTGCCGGGAAGGCCACGTGGACCTGGTTCTGCTCGTTGATGGCTCCAAGAGCGTGCGCCCGCAGAACTTCGAGCTGGTTAAACGCTTCGTGAACCAGATCGTGGACTTCCTGGACGTGTCCCCCGAGGGCACGCGCGTGGGGCTAGTGCAGTTCTCCAGCCGCGTGCGCACCGAGTTCCCGCTGGGCCGCTACGGCACGGCGGCCGAGGTGAAGCAGGCGGTCCTGGCCGTGGAGTACATGGAGCGCGGCACCATGACCGGGCTGGCCCTGCGCCATATGGTGGAGCACAGCTTCTCCGAGGCGCAGGGCGCGCGGCCCCGGGCGCTCAACGTGCCCCGCGTGGGCTTGGTCTTCACCGACGGCCGCTCCCAGGATAACATCTCCGTGTGGGCGGCGCGCGCCAAGGAGGAAGGTGGGCTTGGCGAGGGCCGGGCTGACCTGAGGTTGGGTTTGACGAGGGGAGGAAGCTTTCCTGAAGCCCAGGGCGCCCCCTCTGTTCCCCCGACCCCGCAGGCATCGTCATGTACGCCGTGGGCGTGGGCAAGGCGGTGGAGGAAGAACTGCGAGAGATCGCCTCGGAGCCAGCCGAGCTGCACGTGTCCTACTCCCCGGACTTCAGCACCATGACGCACCTGCTGGAGAACCTCAAAGGCAGCATCTGCCCGGGTGAGCGCAGCCGTCTCGGGACCCCGCCCCTTCTCTCACCGCGCATGCTCCGAGACCTCCGGGTCCTATTCGCTCCCGCCCCCTTCGCTGAGTGACAGCCGGGGAATGGGCTGGCTGGACCGAGCCTCCTTACTCAAGTGTGGTCCCTGGACCTTCGGCAGGGCTGTCGCCTGGTAATCTGTTAAGACTGCAGCGTTTTCAGCGCTCTCCAGACCTACTGAATCCAATGTTGCACTCTGACAAGATCCTCAGGGAATTAGTACTAAGTTTAAGAAGCACAATTCTAAGCGATCTGTTGCCCAAATTAGCTGGGAGTTCAGAATAATTTGGGGGGCGGAGTTTTTCAAGGGCACGCCCAATTCAGCATTCGTAAGGGGAACCACATCATAAGTCCCTTTATCTTGCTGGAATTCAGCTTCACAGACCTGGGAAAGGGGCAGGACTGGGCGTGTCTCAAGTACACAAAGATATGTATTAAATATATGTGTGCTTAGTCGCTCAGTCGTGTCCAACTCTTTGTAACCCTATAGACTATAACCTGCCAGGCTCTTCGGTCCATGCGATTGTCGGGGCAAGAATACTGGAGTGGGTTGCCATTTCCTCCTCCAGGGGATCTTGCCGGCCCAGGGATGGAACCCACATCTCTTGCTGTCTCTTGCATTGGCAGGTGGATTCTTTACCACCAGCACCATCTGGGAGGCCCCATATTAAATGTATATATCCCATAAATTCAATCCATCTGCTTCATCTGGTGCTCAGCTAAGGAAAAGGGGACTAATTCTATTTGTGGAGGGAGGATGGGCTTGAACTTTGTGTACAAGTACCTTTATAGGTAATATAGGGAATTTCTCAGGGTTTTGTTTTGTTTTTTTAACCATACAGTCTTTAGACTGTAACCCAGGCCTACAGTGTGACACTTATTTCAGATAAACAGGCCCCACTCCAGAGCTAGGTTCAGTAGGGCTATGTTGGGCCTGGAGAATATATGTTTAAAATCTCTCTATATATATGTATATATACATATATATGTATGTATATGCACACACACACACACACACACACATTTCTTCCTCTCCCTCTCTCCAGGCTAATTCTAATAATTAGCGAGGATATTATGGAAACACTGGATTAACTTCTCCTTCAGGGCCCTTCCTGTCCTCTTTTATTCATTTATTTATTTGGCTGTGGTGGCTCTTAGTTGCAGCACGCAGGATCTTTAATTGCAGCATGGGAACTCTTAGTTGTTGCCTGTGGGATCTAATTCCCTGACCAGGGATCAAACCCAGGTCCCCTGCATTGGGAGCATGGAGCCTTAGCAACTGGACCATCAGGGAAGTCCCTAACTCTTATGTCCCCTGCAGTGTGTCTTTGGGCAAGTCACTTAACCCCCACCTCTCCCTTACCTTTCCTCTTCCGTGATAGGGCAGGGTGCTGGCTGCCCCAGGTTGCCTCTAGTTCTAGAATTCTAACAGAAATCTGGCCTCTGTGATTGAGGATCTTCACCAACCAATGAAGGATAACCTTGGGTAGATCCTCCTCTCTCTCTGGCCCTTGGTTTCCCCACCTGCAAAGTTAGGAGCCATTCTGGGGCTGTTATCAATACCACTGATGACATGACATACAACAGTTTGCTAAGGGTACATACAAGACTAAGATATGATTTTTAAATCATAATAGCAACTCTGTATTGAAAGCCAAGTGCCAGGCATTGTGCTGTAGTATTCAAAATGGCACACATTTACAAAATTTAGTGAATCTAAGACACCATCCATTGTAAGATTCACTATTATTTTCTATACTGCTAAGAAAAAAAAAGATGCCGGATTTAACTGTAAGGCACCTATTTTGATTTCAGAGATGTTGAAATGTGTGAGGAGATAGACTTGAATCAGTGGTCCTTAAACATTAGTGTGCATCAGATGCACCTGGAGGGTTTGTTAAAAGACAGATTGTTGTCTCCAACCCCAGAGTTTCTGATGCAGTAGGTCTGCAGTGGAATCTGATCATTTGCATTTCTAATAACTTCCTAGGTGATGCTAATGCTGCTGGTCCAGAGAACCACTGATTCCTAAAACATCAATGTTCACTCTTGCCATCTCCTTTTTGGCCACTTCCAATTTACCTTGACTCGTGGACCTAGGGAACCATTGGCCTAGTTGAAATCCAGTATAAAGTGTTTACTTGTGTCAGTTCCAGCGTTTCACCCTCCAATAAACTAGCCACTAGCAACATATTCCCATTTAACTTAAACTAAATAATTCACTTCCTCAATCACACTAACCACATTTCAAGTGTTAAATGGCCATCTATGTGCTATCACACTGACAGATGCTACTGTCACCGCATAAAGTTTCATTTGGACCATGTTTCTGTCGACTCTTGCTACTCAAAAGTGTGGTCCAGGGACCAGCAGCATCAGTACCACTTGGGAGCTTACTAGAAATACAGCATCTCTGCTCCTTTCCCGTTAAGAATAAGAGTCTATCTATCTATCATCTATCTATCTATATCTCTGTCTCTTTATCTATCTGTATTTTGGTTTTTGGCTGTGCTGGTTTTGTTTTTGCTGCATCCAGGCTTTCTCCAGTTGTGGAAAGCAGGGGCTACTCTCCAGTCGCCATGCGCAGGCCTCTCATTGCAGTGGTTTCTCTTGATGCAGAGCACAGGCTCTAGGCGCTCAGGCTTCGGTAGTTCTTGCAGCACGTGGGCTCAGTAGTTGCAGCTTGCTGGCTCTAGGGTGCACCGGCTTCAGTAGTTGTGGCACAAAGACGCGTTAATTGTGTTCACAGGCTTAGTTGCTCCGGGGCATGTGGAATCTTCCTGGACCAGGGATTGGACCCGAGTCCCCTGCATCGGCAGGCAGATTGTTATCCACTGTACCACCAGGGTAGTTCAAGAATCTATATTTTAACAAGATCTCCTAGTGAGTCCAATGAGCACCAAAGTTTGAGAAACCTTCTGTGATGGGTACCCACATAAGACACACATGAAAATCATGGAGTCCTCCGCACCGCCCAAGGAATAGGTTTTCTCATTGTATCCATTCTGATAGACAATGAATCCACGGCTTAGAAAGGTTGAATGGGTTTTCCAGTATCTCACAGCTATCTAGCTGGGACTCATCCCAGGTCTGTCTGGATCTCAAACCGGTGCACTCAGCCGCAGGCGGGGTGGAGGGATATCAGGGGGGCCTCGGCCAGGGCCAGCTGGTCCTCCTGCAGCTTCTCACTCCCCCGACTCTCTGTGCCCCTCTGGCAGAGGAGGGCATCGGCGCGGGGACAGAGCTTCGGAGCCCCTGCGAATGCGAAAGCCTCGTGGAGTTCCAGGGCCGCACGCTGGGGGCGCTCGAGAGTCTGTCGCAGAAGCATATCCTTTGGGTCCCGGGGTGCGGGCCGGCGGGGAGACGAAGGGAACCCCGAGAGCCCCGGAGGCTTCCTTAACCTCTCACTGGCCCAGCTGACCGCACGCCTGGAGGATCTGGAGAACCAGCTGGCTACCCAGAAGTGAGGGCCGCTGGTGGCCCAGACCCGGGCAAGGAACGCGGCCCCGCGGACAGCCCCAGCCCTCTACCCCCGCTCCGGGGGCGCCGTCGAGGCGCCGGGCCCGGAGAGAACCTGGGTCCTCCCAGGCCTGGGCTGTCGCGGGGGAGGCGCTGGCGGGCTCCCAGCGCTGCGCTTGAGCTGGGCTCGCCGGGACCAGAAGTCGGACTGCGGGGAGGGGTCGGGGGAGGGGATGTGGAAGACGCGTGCTGCGCTCAGTTCTTTGTAGGATTTCTTTTTTTGTTTTCTTTTTCTTAAAAAAAGAAAAAAAAAAAAATCTGGTTTCCACGGGGTCGGTGTGTGTGTCTTGCTGTGCCGCCAGGGGGAGGGGAGGCCAGACGGAGCGCGCTCCGGCGGCGCCCGGGCGGCGTCTCCTCGGAGAAAGGCGCATTGTGCGGGGGTCGGGCCGGGGGGCAGGGGACTGCGAGCTGCTTCCCCCCGCTGGTTCATTCAGCCGAGAACAGATGGCTCCTTATGCAGACGGTGGGAAGGGGGCTCCACGGGTACCCCTGGGGTCTGGGCAAGTCTGCCCTCCATCTCTCAGCGGTCAGGCACCTGGCTCTCTGGCTGTGTCTCCTGGTGTCCCCCCGAGTCTGGCTTAAGGGCTATTAGAACTGGGCGGAGTTGGGGGGTGAGTGATGAAGCGGGAGGCAGTAACCGGACCTCCTGAAGGGACGGGGTGTGGGGGGAGGAGGGCGCATTGGTGAGTTTCACTCGGATTTTATCTCCCTGCACCAAGTAGGAAGAGGTGTGTGGGTTTTTTGGGGGGGGGGGGGCGGGCAGCCAGGACCTCTGGCCCAGAGTGGCCTGCACAGCCTCTGCTTCACCCTCCGCTCAACTCCAAAAATAAATAATAATAATAATAATAAAAACTAATCCTCTGTAGGTAAAGAGCACAAACCGGTACAGTCTCCCAAGTGCATGTGAGAAACTGCGAGGATGAAAATGCTTCCAGTCCTAGAGTGATGACAGGCAAATTACTCTGGGTTTGTTTCCTTATGTGTAAAATGGGGATTGAAATAGTCACTCCCAAGGGTGATAGTGAGAATGGAGGAAATTATTCTAAGGCATCTGACCCTGTGCCTGGTACCTATTAGGCAGCAATGAATAGCTAACATGCTTAGTCTCTGGCACTATTCAAAGTGACTTACAAGTATTTTCATTTTATCATCACAATAACCTTGTGAGGTAGGAATTTTTGCCTTTATCACTATCACGAGAAAACTGAGTCAAAGAGAGGTTAAGTCGCCCAGAGTCACATGACAGGTAAGAAGCTGAGCCAGTGTATTTTCATTTCCTGCGGCTGCGGTAGCATCACCACAAACTCAGTGGCTTAATCATCACAGACGTTCTTGGGGTCAGAAGTCTCAAAAGGGTTGGCAGGGCTGGAGACTTGGTTCCTTGCCCTTTCCAGCTTCTAGAAGCCACCTGAATTCCTTCATCACCTCGATCTCTGCTTCTGCATCATACCTCCTTCTCTAACTTTGACCTTCCTGCCTCCACTGTATAAGGACACTTGTGATGACCCAGATAACCCATGATAACCTCCCCCTCTGAAGTTCTTTATCATCTGCAAACTCTCTTCTTAAAATTTTTTTAAAAATTATTTATTTGGCTGCTCCCAGTTTTAGTTGCAGCATGTGGGATCTAGTTCCCTGACCAGCAATCGAACCCGGGTCCCCTGCATTGGAAGCACAGAGTATCAGCCACTGGACCCCCAGGGAAGTCCCTGCAAACTCTCTTTGCCATGTAAAGTAACATATTCTCAGGTTCCAGAGATTAGGACGTGGACATCTTTGGGGTGGGGGCATTATTCTGTCTACAACACAGGGCTTGAAGTCAGGAGAACCAAACTCAGAGCAGGCATTGTGAATCACACCTGTCTGGCCCCTCACTGGGCCTGGTGAGGAGGGAGAAAGATGATTGAGAAAAGCCCCCAGGTTGGGGGAGCCTCAGGCTGGAGTGGGTGAGGTCCACCTGACTATACCTGTGGCAGCAAGAGGACCCTTCAGGTGAAGGGATGGAGCAAAGGGCAGCTAAGCAGGGAGAAATCCTGGAGGAGGTGACTTTCCGCTAAGCCTTGACCTACAGTTGGAATTTCCACAGGTGTCCATGGGGATCTCACAGGTGAATAAAGCCACAGATACAGGTGGTCAGGAGTGACTGGAGTGAGGGGCGACAAGATGATTGAGATCTTACCTGGTCATGAGGGTCAGATAAGCAAAAGTGCTAAGTACCGCGCCTAGCCTGTGCCCTGCCCAACCTCTATGTTTTATGGCAGGGGAAGTGGTCAAACAGGAGGTGGCAAGAGTGAACATTGACATTTTAGGAATCAGAGAACTAAAATGGACTGGAATGGATGAATTTAACTCAGATGGCCATTATATCTACAACTGTGGGCAAGAATCCCTTAGAAGAAATGGAGTAGACGTCATAGCACAAAAGGGTCCAAAATGCAGTACTTGGATGCAATCTCAAAAATGACAGAATGATCTCTGTTCGTTTCCAAGGCAAACCATTCAGTATCATGGTAATCCAAGTCTATGCCTCAACCAGTAATGCTGAAGAAGCTGAAGTTGAATGGTTCTATGAAGACCTACAAGACCTTCTAGAGCTAACATCCTAAAAGGGTGTCTTCTTCATTATAGGGGACTAGAATGCAAAAGTAGGAAGTCAAGAGCTACCTGTAACAGGCAAATTTGGCCTTGGAGTACAAAACAAAGCAGGTCAAAGGCTAACAGAGTTTTGCCAAGAGAACACACTGGTCATAGCAAACACGCTCTTCCAACAACACAAGAGAAGACTCTACATGTGGATGTCACCAGATGGTCAACACCGAAATCAGATAGATTATATTCTTTGCAGCCAAAGATGGATGGACAAGTGCTATACAGTCAGCAAAAACAAGACTGGGAGCTGACTGTGGCTCAGATCGTGAACTCCTTATTGCCAAATTCAGACTTAAATTGAAGAAAGTAGGGGAAACCACTAGATCATTCAGGTATGACCTAAATCAAATCCCTTATCTTATACAGTGGAAGTGACAAATAGATTCAAGGGATTAGATCTGATGGAGTGTCTGAAGGACTATGGATGGAGGTTCATGACATTGTATCCATCCTCAAGAAAAAGAAATGCAAAAAGCAAAATGGCTGTCTGAGGAAGCTTTACAAATAGCTGTGAAAAGAAGAGAAGTGAAAAGAAAAGGAAAGATATACCCATTTGAATGCAGAGTTCCAAAGAATATCAAGGAGAGATAAGAAAGCCTTCCTCAGTGTATCAGTGCAATGAACTAGAGGAAAACAGTAGAATGGGAAAGACTAGAGATCTCTTCAAGAAAATTAGAGATACCAAGGCAACATTTCATGCAAAGATGGGCACAATAAAGGACAGAAATGGTATGGACTTAACAGAAGCAGAAGATATTAAGAAGAGGTGGCAAGAATACACAGAACTATACAAAAAAGATCTTCATGACCCAGATAATCACGATGGTGTGATCACTCACCTAGAGTCAGACATCCTGGAGTGCAAAGTCAAGTGGGCCTTAGGAAGCATCACTATGAAAAAAGCTAATGGAGGTGATGGAATTCTAGTTGAGCTATTTCAAATCCTAAAAGATGATGCTGTGAAAGTGCTGCACTCAATATGCCAGCAAATTTGGAAGACTCAGCAGCGGCCACAGGACTGGAAAAGGTCAGCTTTCTTTCCAATCTCAAAAAAAGGCAATGCCAAAGAATGTTCAAACTACCGCACAGTTGCACTCATCCCACTCGCTAGCAGAATAATGCTAAAAATTCTCCAAGCCAGGCTTCAACAGTACATGAACTGTGAACTTCCAGATGTTCAAGCTGGATTTAGAAAAGGCAGAGGAACCAGAGATCAAATTGCCAACATCTGCTGGATCATAGAAAAAGCAAGAATTCCAGAAAAACATCTACTTCTACTTTATTGACTATGCCAAAGCCTTATTGACTGTGTGAATCACAACAAACTGTGGAAAATTCTTCAAGAGATGGGAATTACCTGCCTCCTGAGAAATCTGTATGCAGGTCAGGAAGCAACAGTTAGAACTGGACATGGAACAACAGATTGATTCCAAATCAGGAAAGGAGTATGTCAAGGCTATATATTGTCACCCTGCTTATTTAATTTACATGCAGACTACATCATGCAAAATGCCATGCTGGATGAAGCACAAGCTGGAATCAAGATTGCTGGGAGAAATATCAATAACCTCAGATACGCAGATGACACCACCTTTATGGCAGAAAGCAAAAAGGAACTAAAGAGCCTCTTGATGAAAGTGAAAGAGGAGAGTGAAAAAGTTGTCTTAAAACTCAACACTGAGAAAACTAAGATCATGGTATCTGGTCCCATCACTTCACGACAAATAGGTGGGGAAACAATGGAAACAGTGAGAGACTTTATTTTTTTGGACTCCGAAATCACTGCAGATGGTGACCACAGCCATGAAATGAAAAGACGCTCCTTGGAAGAAAAGCTATGACCAACCTAGACAGCATATTAAAAAGCAGAGACATTACTTTACCAACAAAGGTCCATCTAGTCAAGGCTATGGTTCGTTCAATAGTCGTGTATGGATGTGAGAGTTGGACTATAAAGAAAGCTGAGCACCAAACAACTGATGCTTTTGAACTGTGGTGTTGGAGAGGACTCTTGAGAGTCCCTTGGACTGCAAGGAGATCCAACCAGTCCATCCTAAAGGAAATCAGTCCTGAGCATTCAGTGGAAGGACTGACGCTGAAGCTGAAACTCCAATACTTTGGCCACCTGATGGGAAAAACTGACTCATTTGAAAAGACCCTGATGCTGGGAAAGATTGAAGGCAGGAGGAGAAGGGGCCAACAGAGGATGAAATGGTTGGATGGTATCACCGATGTGATAGACATGAGTTTGAGTAGTCTCTGGGAGTTGGTGATGGACGAGGAGGCCTGGCCTGCTGCAGTCAGTGGGGTTGCAGAGTCGGACAGGACTGAGCAACTGAACTGAACTGAATCCGGGCCTAGAGGGCTGAGTTGTCTGTCTGTCCAAGATCACAGTGAGAGAACCGCAGCTGAGCCAGGCAGTAACCTAGGCGACGGGGGTGTGTGTCCTGATTGGAACAGGGGCCTCAAGGATGGAGGTGGCAATGAGGCAAAGCCTCAGCCCCCTCCCTGGCCCTGGCCGGGACCGCCTTCTGAGGGTTGTTTTTTTCTTCTCGCCTGCACTTCTCATGCAATCTCTGCAGCGGCCACTAGATGGCGCCCGGAGCTCTGATTCGGAGTTGGGCGCCAGCGCCTTTGGGCTTCCCAGCTTGCTCAGTGGAAAAGAACCTGCCTGCCAGTGCGGGAGACGAGGGTTGGATCTCTGGGTCAGGAAGATCCCCTGGAGAAAGAAATGGCAACCCTCTCCAGTATTCTTGTCTGGAGAATCCCAGGGACAGAGGA